ATCAGTGGGAGGAAAAGGATGCTATAAATTTTGAAGGAAATCATTTTAATAACATACTACAACATCAAAACTGATGGCAGTGACCCATATCTGAGAGCCAGGAACTTTGCAATGATCGAGACATACAAGTGAGCAAGAACTTCTACAAGGTACCGACATCGCCTAGGATAATATAAAGGATGTTCTGTACTTAAATGGACATAGTGAAGTTGTAGATACTATGGATCGAGGCCTTTTCATGTATCAAAATAAAAAGTTCTAAATTCAGTTTTTACGGATATACAGGATAATTTATCTATTTAATAACCCATACCTCAGGCACAATTAAACCGATTTGGTTGAAATTTTGCACGATAATAAAGTTGCCGAGGAGCAACGTGAAACTAGACTAGACGGTTAACAAATCCAGGGCCGGGATCGATTTTTTCATCTTTTTGTTTATCAGAATCAACGAATTTCGAACTGAATATTAAATGTTTGATTATGTACAAAAAAGCCGATGACTGTTGCTAATCAATTAGCAAAATAGGTTGACTGTGCCTGCGTTTTTCAGTTGTACATTTTTATTCATTCAAATTCAAATGTTTGCAGTTTATGTGTCATAAAACTCAAAATTTTAAGGATCATAAACTTGGTTTCATCAACATTTTACAAAATAATCCTTAAAATTGAACTAAAGAAGTTTTTGGAACTCTAAACTCCAGTGTTGGACTCAGTGTCTTTATTATGAATGTACTATTATTTCGCAGAAAAAAGAGCAGCACACGATAGGAAAATTTATGTTTTGCACACTATTTAGCCTAATACATAGATCCCGACTCAGCATTTTCACTCTCCACCACAACCTACGTTAGTTACATTATGTACACAAGGTGCCAAATGTCGAAAAATCCATACTATGTTTTTGTCGATTTTTTACTTAATGTCAAGTTGGTCTGGACGGCCAAATTTAGCGGAATCGCATAATAAATACCGTTTCGCTTTTTAACTAGAACTTATGTTGTGCAGCATCAGTTGGTAGAATCATACAAAAATATTTGTGCTTGACACTCCAACGGTGATGTAGAAACTGAGAATTTTTACCCCTGCAGGAGATAAAGTCAAATTAATTTCTATATAAACTTCGAAGTTGAGTCATTTATTTTAACAGTGAGTAGATCTGATCAAAAGAAATGTTTTTTTCCTTTAACATTTTTCTGGTAAAATTAATGTTACAAAGTTATAGCCCTTTAGAAGTTTGAGTACCGCCCTGTCTCAATAATAATATTATGTGCTCGTGTTTGGCAACAACGGATATAATCCGCCTTATCGGTTCATCGCATCGGAAACAAAAAAGCGAAAGAATTTGAAACGCTGATCACGATGTTTTTATTCAGTCGATGTGTCAGTCGGTATCGCGTGAGTGAATAGTGGTGTTTGCTGCGTGGCTCAAACGAAATAAAAAATGGCACATGTTTATGCGGATCGGTTTCCCAATCGAGTGCAACCAACCCCTCGTGCCTTTGTTAATGTAGTACAACGGGCTCGTGAATCAGGTGACTTAAGACCTCACAGAGGAGGGCATGCCGGTGCTCCAAGACCTCACGATCAAATACAGGTCCGCACTGAAATACTTGTCGGGAGAATACTTTATAAAACAAGGTAACAATTTTTTTTTAATTTTTTTTTATTTTTACACACATATTTTGGTTTATCTTCCTTCTACAATCATTATCTGAAAATTAATGACTCAACTTCAAAGTCACCCTGTATATATATAGTTGGGTACAAAATACAATTACTTGTTAGTTGGGAAATTTGCAAAACTTTTAGGCCAAAGTTGACTCTTTTGACGATAAAATCAAGCTTTCGGCATTCTCTATAGAGCCATCATCAGGATTTCGTCGGTGAGGTTGCAGCCACAAGGTGTTTCAGAAAGAACGTAGAGAAGATCGAACTTGTGTTCAGTATAAAAACAAAAGGACGGGGACATTGGGCTTGTTAAGAACGACAGATACCTTCGTTAAAAGTAAAAAAAAAACGACAGATACCTTAAGTTAAGACAAATAAAAAAAAAATAAAAATTATATCAATAAACCCGAACAAGCTAAAAATATTACACGTGGGGAGACATTTTGTTGAAACTAAAAGTTAAGAAAAATGAAAAATGTCTCCCCACGTGTAATATTTTTAGCTTGTTCGGGTTTATTGATATAATTTTTATTTTTTTTTTTATTTTTCTTAACTCAAGGTATCTGTCGTTTTTTAACAAGCCCAATGTCCCCGTCCGTTTGTTTTTATACTGAACACAAGTTCGATCTTCTCTACGTTCTTTCTGAAACACCTTGTGGCTGCAACCTCACCGACGAAATCCTGATGATGACTCCATAGAGAATGCCGAAAGCTTGATTTTATCGTCAAAAGAGTCAACTTTAGCTTAAAAGTTTTGCCAATTTCCCAACTAACAAGTAATTGTATTTTGTACCCAACTAGTCGTTGGCTTTGGCAATGACTACTTCTCATATATATATATATATATACTAAGTGACATATAAATCCGAACACCCAGTTTAAATGGTTTTATTTTAATAAAATTTTGTATAAGTACTTAATGAAGCATAATAAGTAACTGATAAAAATTTCAAAATGATTGCACTGCTTTAAAGCCCTTTGACCTTTAATAATGTGTGGATGCACCCTGATGTGCTACGCAGTCTTCAACGCGCCTAGGCATGCTTCTGATCAGGTGGTCAATGTCCTCCTGTGGTATCTCATTCCAGGCAACCACCAACTTCTCTCGAAGTGCTTCTAGATGTGACATCATTATGTTGAAAGAAGTCTATTGTGACTCTTGCAACATGTGGTCGGGCATTATCTTGTTGGAAAGTTGGATCTGCCAGGGTGTCAAGATAGGGTAAAAGATGGGGTTCTAGCACTTCGCGGATATAACGCTGCGCGTTCATAATACCTTTGATGAAGATTAAAGGTGACCTGGAACCATAAGCTATAGCACCCCAAACCATAACTCCAACAGTGTGATGAACATGTCTTTCAACAAAAAACTGTGGATTCCTCCTTTCACCACGTTGCCTTCTAACCCTGGCATGACCATCGTGCATGCCTAAACAAAATCGAGACTCGTCACTAAAGACAATACTGTTCCATTCCTGATCCCAGAGTGACCGTTGTCTGCACCACTCAAGGCGATTACGTCGGTGTTCTCGAGTTAAAGGGAGGACCCTGTGTGGCCGGTATGAATACAAGCCAAAACTTCTCATTCGTCGGTAAACACTTCGCATGCCAATAGGTCTTCCGTGTTCTGCAAACCATTCATTTGCAATGGACCTGGTAGTGGAGAAACGGTCCCTTAAGGCCAATAATCTTAGGCGGCGATCTTCACGGTCTGTTGTTCTACGGCGGAGTCCAGTGCCCCTTGCTCTTTGGGTACGGCCTTCTCGAAGCCATGCCTGACAACACCTAACCACAGTGTCTACACTTCTTTGAACTCTAACTGCAATTGCTCGAAAAGAAAGTCCAGCTTCCCGAAGTCCCACTATACGGCCCCTATCAAACTCACTAAGTTGACGAAATCGTACAGGTCTTCGTACTCTAGGCATCGTAACCGATCGTAAAGGATGTCAAGAACCAAAATCCGCCAACGTTGATTCTTTACTGCGGCTGAAATATTCATTTTTAGAGCGTTAGTGAATTAAAAAAAAGCAGTATAAAAACCAGAATGTCCAACTGATAAGGCTGAAAATTGTTTCACTTGTTATTTACAGGAAGATAAATACATTCACCAACTTTTATTAAAATAAAACCATTTAAACTGGGTGTTCGGATTTATATGTCACTTAGTATATATATTGCATTTTTGAATGCCATTTAAGTTTACATGAGTTGCCTTTTCTAAGAATTTTTTTTCATACCTCTCCTTTTTGGAGAAAAACTGGATTGAATATGTAAGGTAAAAGCCTCATCATCCCATTATACTTTAAAAATATTTACGGAAGCTAAAGAAGTTTGACAGTGAAAAATATGTATACTGTATTAGAAGAGTAGCTCTATCTCACACCGTAGCGTTATTTGGACAATATTCATGTTTTGTCCTTATTCAGCCTCATCAGTGGCGTAAAATTTGCTATAGAATATGAAACTTGAGGATCATTAAAACGCTATCGCAATTGAGTATTTGAAATATTCAGCGAGAAAGATGATAAATCTATAGATTCTGTTGTATTTTCACTAATTTGTGCAATTCAGTGTGCAGTTTCGATCGACATCTTTAGTTTCTGTACACTGAGAAAACGTGACCAATTAAACAATTTTTCTGGAAAATTTGTATTATCCGTAATGCATTTTTCAATTATTCTGAGTCACTAAAGTATTTGGTTTAATCAAACTGAATTTTCTGGACCCACTTTAGTTCAGATTAGTAGTAATAATAATAATAATAATAATAATAAAAATAATAATAATAATAATAATAATTTATCTGCCAAATACTATTATAGAAATACTAATTTCAAAGATCGTTGCCACACAGGAGTATCGATGTCAAATAAAAGTAATACCATGAACGAAAAATCTTGTATGTGTATGTTACTAAACTGCTTAATTAATTTAGGTAATTTAGTTTATGTAGTAAAAGTACATTTAAGACAATTAAGCATTTTAATAAAAACAAATAAACTGTTTATTTGTATTGCGGACTCGGCAGGACTCGTGAATAATCAGGAGTTTGCAACAGGCAGTATTGGATGTTGTGCTTTGAGCTCTTTATGACTAGCTTCATATTCGAATATTGCCGTTGTTGGTTTCTAATTTAAAAATCTCACCCTAAAAGCCAGATAATCTTAGAGGAATCGCGTTTCTTGCACCCAAAAATTTCTTCGCGTGTCTGTGCTGTGAACATACAATTTCTAAACATTCTGAATAAGACATGACAGATATTCATTGATACCCACTTTTCTCGTAACGCGCTTGTACACCACTACCTCAAAAACGCACAAAAAACTTACGGCCCTCGCACAGCCCGTAAATTACCATTTCCTTTATGTTCCTCACATGCGACATTATTCTCGCCCCCATTTTCGTCTGGCGCGACACAAAAAAACTAGGGTCATAAAATTCGAATGCAAGGTGGCCCATTAGGGCAGGCGACCAGGTGCTAGGTATGGTGAAAGTGATAATAAATTTAGTTTTTAGTTGGAAATGTAGGTAGGGGTGAGTACATTGGTAAAAAACATCGATATTATATACTATCGGATCACACTATCGATATTTGTTTATTTAGCCATAGAAAGTTTTATTTATTTTGTAAAATGATTGTCGAGTAGACTGACTGAATAGTTCCCCCAAGCATTCATATACGACTATTTTGAGATATTTCATACATACAATCAAGAAATTCTAGATACACAAATACCAAGTATTATTACTCAAAAGATAAACATTGCCAGCTTTCAAAATTTTAAACGTTTTAGGATTAACAGAGACAGACTTGTTCAACGGTATTAAATCAAATTTTGGAGAATTTTTTTCTGCCCGTCTAAAAATTTGTGCAAAGATTATTCGAAGATTGTAAAACACAAACGAAGTTTGGGAACAACCTGAAACTTCTTTGTGTTTTACTTAAAACTACATTGCCATCCCAACTTTAGAAAATGAAGTAGCACTATAAGGTCTTTTTACGGCTTTTGGTGGCTACATCACAAAGCGCCACGTGCAGAGATTAACCCCCTTAAGGGAACTTACACACTGATCAACACAATCCTTAACGCAGCTGCTCTTGCTCTTGCACACTGACATGAATTGGGTGATAGAGGACCGTTTTCTTCATGCACTTTCTGAGAATACTCCTATGAATTTAATACAGACTGTCGATATTGTACTTGTATCTTCAGACATTGCTATGTTTTATTTGGAGGATAACTGAAGGAAAACTCTAATCATGTGCGTATGACAAACAAGTTGTCACACTGACAGTGGCAAGCATGACCATAAAAGACATGTACGAGAGAAGAGCAACTATATCTGAATTGCCTACTATGATCCCACAGTCTATCCCCGTCCAAATTGCATTAAAATCAGCACCAGATTTTCCGAGAATCAGGAGGTGTAAGAATGCCATCACATAGACTGAAAGACCACATCAAAATTGACATCAAAACTTCACAGACACTAAACAAAGTCAAAGAGAAATAGAAAATTTGTACATCGACTCGGAGAACAATGATATCCGTTTCTAGATACATCGATTGTTTTCCCATCCCCAAAGTGCAGTTGTATTGTTTAACTCGGGTAGGTGTAATTACACGACTTTTAGTATTTCTCACCTTCAGTAGGTCGTAAAATACCGTAAGGTTTATGAGTTTAACCAGCTCGCTCCGTGTAAAAGGCTTGTTAAGTTTTATTATTTTGTAGATAAATTTTCAAGAGTAATGTATTTCCTAGGCAGGTATGTGATGTTAAAACAAAACAGACAATAAACGTAAGAACTTCACAAAGGAGACGACGTAGAAAAGTAACATATGGCTGTAATTTGAAATTGAGGAATGAACAACGTGTTGAGATGGTAGACTCGTCTACAGTACAGTTTATTGGAAGGTTGAGATAAGACTAGTCAAAGTTTGTTGACAATCGCACCACAAAGCCGAAATAAGGTAATTTTGTTGTGAGTGTCAAGCCAAAAAAGAAATACAATGAAAATCGCTTGATAGGTCAAGAACCATCATGTGTTTCATGATGCCACCAAAAAATGGTTCAAGAAAAGTTCATAGACCAGTGTAATAACCAACGAATTCGGATAGATTAAGAGCCAAGAATATATGTTCACATTGCATTGTTTGACGAAAAATTGCGTAGTTTTAGACTTAGATTCGTTTGACTACTATTGCCTACCAAAGTGACAACGTCATACCAACATAATTATAATACCTACCAGTAGAAAAACTACTTTCATTAGGCTTGTGCCGCCGTTTGCAAATTATACAAGAATATCATGAAATCATTCAACACCACAATTATCTGCGAACAGTCACATTTTTAAAAAATAACACTAAACATACGAATTTAATGACCCAACAGTCAAAAAATTAACTTAGAGTAAAGGCAACTTGTCCACTTTCATCCTGATTACAGATACAAACATATAAATAACACCAGGGACTAAAAAAATGAAGTTTTGAAGATAAACAAATCAGGGTTGCTCCTTTTGTCTAGCTTGAATTCGTTGGGACTAACTAACTCAAGACAAATGCAGGCAAAATAATACATTGTCAAAGTATACAATTAGGTATGATGGTAAGGGCCATAGGCACCCTAACAGGGCATTGTTTTTGAGCTGTCTCACGAACCTACCAAAAAAGCTCATGTGCCGTTCCTCTAGAGCAGGAGTTCCCAACCAGGGGGCATGGAGAGATGTCAAGAGGGGTGCGGAAAGCGTTTGCATTGTAAACAAAAAAAAAACAACATTAACAAATAACATTACAATGTAATGTTCAATTTACACGCATAAATTTATAAATTAAATATCATATTCACTTATTCTGACAACCGCTGTTTCAAAACCCGGCGTCGTCAATCGCAGTTTATACAACTTTCGAGAAGTCACAAGATGAATTCCGCGCGCACCCCCGCCGCGCTCCGCTTAACATTAATCACTTAGAAAACAGTTGTGTACCTACCAGACGCTGATGAGCATCTGTGACACTAATTCCAACAAACTTGCGAAAAATTTGACGTACATGTTTGTTGAGAAATCTGTTTGAGTGTGTCAAATCATTGTGTCTCACTGTTAAAAGGTAAGTTTGTGTATTTACAAACTTCACCTACCATTTTTGTTTAATTTACTAAATTGTTGATTGGGTTGAGACGCGTTCATAGATTGGTCATTGGGACTTTTGTACCACATCACAATCAAACCAACGTGGCGAAATGATTTTTGAAACGACGAACTTTAAATACCTAATATTGATTCCAACTGTATTTAAAATTACTATTATAACGTCAACTGCCTCCAAAAATATGTCTCCCGTTGGCCACTATACTGTTGAATACATTACGTTATTAAGATAAAATGATGGGCATATAAATAATTAGTAATTACATGTAGGTATTTTGCTGATTTATTTGTTACTTATTTGTTTTATTGTTATAGGTGCAAAATAGCAGCGAAAAAAAGGAAAGTTTTCCGAAGATTACGTTGAGTTTGGATTTACCTTCATAGAAAAAGACAAGTAATAATTGCCTCAGTGTGTGATATGTATGGAAGTTTTAAGTAATGATAGCATGAGGCCCAATCGCCTTGATATGCATTTGAAGCAACAACATCCTACTCTGGTTTTGCAGACGAAAGAGTTTTTTTATTCTAAAGCAGAATCACTCAAGCGGATGAGACTGGATAAATCGGAAAGTTATCATATAGGTATATCGCAGCATCTCAAAGCTTCATTTGAAAAGATAGCAAAGCATAAGAAACCTCATACTATGGGTGAAGACTTAATAAAACCATGTGTCCTAAAAGCCACGCAGATCATTTTAGGAGAAGATGCAGAGCAAAAAATGAAGTCTATTTCTCTTTCAAATAACACAGTCAAGCGTAAAATCGATGACATTGCAGCAGACATAAAGTCACAAATAATTAATAAAATAAAATTATCGCCGTTTTTTGCTATTGGTTGCGCCGACAATGGATCCACCGACATCGTTAATTGTGCACAATTAAGAGTTTATCTTCGTTACATCGACGGAGATATCATTCAAGAAGAGATTTTGTACTCCCAATCTTCAACAGCAGGTACTACATCTGAAAATATATTTAATTCAATATCAAATTTTGTTGAAAAAAATTATTTGGATTCGAAGAAACTCAATAGACTGTGCACAGCTGGTGCACCTGCAAAGATAGGTGTACGATCCTGCTTAGCTCAAACCTCAAGGAAAAAATCCCGCAATGGTTAGTACACATTATGTTATTCATCGGAAAGCTTTGGCGCCAGACCTTGGACTCGGCTATAAGGATTGTAAACTACATCAAGAGCAGCCCTTTGAACAGTCTGTTATTTACGTTACTTTGCGAGGATCTCGATTCTGATCACAAGGTTCTTCTGTTCCATACAGAAGTACGAAGGCTGTCCAAAGGCAGCATGTTGGCTCGCCTTTATGAATTGAAAGAAGAGGTAATTCATTTTCTTGAGTTCAAAGAAAAACACGATTTCTTGACACGTTTCAATGGAGGTTGGCTTATTTAACTGACATATTTGACTCCTTGAATGAGCTAAACTTGAAACTTCAGGGCAGAAACAACACTTATTTTTGACCACCCTGTATGAGCAAAAATGAAAATTCGAAAAAGTAACAAATAAGATAAAAGTTGATGTGTAAGTTTTTTTTGACATCAAATTCAGCTCTCCAAATTTCAAAATGGCATATTGAGGGGTTGCCGAAGTGGACGGTTTTTCTGAAAAAAACACCTTACATCTCAGTAGCTAATTACCAAAACCACATAGTATGTCATATCAATATTCTTCTTCTGAATTGGTTTATTCAAATATGCAATAAAGTTTGTGGCATTCCGTTTACAAAATCACAACTTTGATATGTAGGTTAAAATTGGGACACCCTGGGTAATTGCCAATATTTTAGAAATGACATGTATAACATGCCATAAATAGATTTTCCCAAAATGTATCTGATTATAAGTGATATTCCAAACGGAGAGCTAGATTTAATTCATGCGGGTCGCAGTTGTGTTGTATGTCTATCACCATTCTATATACAGGGTGACTTCGAAGTTGAGTCATTTATTTTAACAGTGAGTAGATCTGATCAAAAAAATGCTTTTTTCCTTTAACATTTTTCTGGTAAAATTAAAGTAACAAAGTTATAGCCCTTTAGAAGTTTGAGTACCGCCCTGTCTCAATAATAATATTATGTGCTCGTGTTTGGCAACAACGGATATAATCCGCCTTATCCGTTCATCGCATCGGAAACAAAAAAGCGAAAGAATTTGAAACGATGTTTTTACTACAATGTACAATTTTATTCAGTTGTTTTCCGTCAATGTGTCAGTCGGTAACGCGTGAGTGAATAGTGGTGTTTGTTGCGTGGCTTAAACGAAATAAAAAATGGCACATGTTTACGAAAATGCTGAACTTGTGGACATGATTCTTATTTACGGGGAGGGAGTCTTTATGCGGATCGGTTTCCCAATCGAGTGCAACCAACCTTTCGTACCTTTGTTAATGTAGTACAAAGGGCTCGTGAATCAGGTGACTTAAGACCTCACAGGGGAGGGCATGCCATGCCATCCTGATAAAATTGATCTGCAGTTTATATGACCAAATTTTAAAACCTTGAATTTATCACTATTCATATTCAATTCTAGATTTCAAGTATGTAACATATTTTTTATAAGTTGGACAATCCAAGTCTTTAGAAGAATGACTAGTATCAAATTGAGTGTTGAATTTAGAATTGTGATTCATACAGTTTGAACAATTCTTAAAAGCAGATTTACAATTTTTTTCCAAATGATCTTCAGCACATAAAGGACATGATACTTTAGAATGTATGCAATTGTTTTCCATGTGGCCAAAACCTGAACATTTATAGCAGCGTATAATTCGTACATAATCCCGCACAGGACATCTTTGCCAACCCATGTATATATGACCTCTATCTAGCAACGTTTTTCTAAATTTTGGGCTAACCTCAATGACAACATTTAAAGTAGATTCGGAACATCTGAAAGTGGTTACAGTTTTTATATAATCACTACTGAAAATACCAAATTCATTCTGGGACAAGATCTTCTCGATTAATCCCTCAGATTTTGTGTAGGCGCATTCTACATTATTTATCACCATGCGTGGGCGATATTTCTTGATCTCATTGACAGTGAAGTTCGCACCGAGTTCTCCCTGTATACTCGCCATCAGCTTGGACATTGATGCTTCATTTTCGCAGCTAAGAATGATGCCATTATTCACCCTCCTCACAGAGTTCACACAGATATTTGACTTAGCTGGATCAATGCTCTTCTTCAAATCTTCCAACACATTAGAGTTTGATTTGTCCGTACTTTTTATCATCAACTTTTGTGTATTATTAATTTTATCTACAATCTTCTCATCTCTGCTTTTTTTTGAGTCTTTTACAGCTCCACTATATGATTTAATTATATTACGTCTAGTATCAAAAAAAAGGTTATAAAAAGTTGAATCCAAACTTGCACAAATATGCAGGGTGATGCATTTGAAATTTTTGAGAAAATCTATAATTTGCGTTTTTGGCCCACCCTGTTTGAGCAAAAATTAAAGTTCGAGAAAGTAACAAGTAAGATAAAGGCTGAGGTATGCAAGCGTCTTTTGATACAAAATTCAGCACTCCAAATTTCAAAATGGCGGACTGAGGGGTTGCCGAAGTGGGTTATTTTCTAGACAAAACACCTTATATCTCAGTAGCTAATTACCAAATCCCCATAGAATGTTGTAACAATTTACTTCTTTTGAATTGGTTTATCCAAATATGCATTAAAATTTGAAGCATTCCATTTGTAAAATCACAACTCTGATATGTAGGTCGAAATTGGACACAATAATGGCCAATATTTTAGAAATGTGCCCTCAAATGTCATGTATAACATGCTATAAATAGATTTTCCCAAAATGTATTTGTTTATGAGTAATATTCCGTCCACACATGGATGGGCCTATATATATGGGGAAATAGCACCCCATAGTATCCAAAATAATGTACATGTATGCAGTGATACCTTGCAACAACGCAATTTGCATGTATGTATTTAACGTAGTGTTATTAGGGGTAGCCAAGTAGACGTATAAATAGGTAAATTCCAACAACGTTTCTCGAATAACTGCACGTATTTTCGTCGTCAATCACCAACCGATACGTGTCTACTTCCCGAACAATGAACCAACCGTACCTTCTCGTGTATGCGTCTCGAGCTACAATACAAACTTCTCTGCATTCATACATTCAACCTCTCGGAGCAGTTCCTAGAACATAGCTCTTCAAGTGTTATTTTCATAGCTAGGTAGGTATCGATGATTCAAGCACGCTGGGATAACTCAATACAATTTCTTACATAATTTCACATAAGCATTGAATATTCTCTCTTTATTGATAGAAGAGATCATAATAAAATGAGGAAAATATGTTTGTAACCATTCGGCATTGTATTCCAAAATGTGTAGGACTCATGTTAAGCAGGAAGAATAAAGCGCCAACTTCTTTTGAAAAATGATGTCAATTAGTCCAACGCAGTGATCCCCATGTAATAATATAAAACTGAATTTTTTGATCTCGAAATATTTGAGGTCCCTAATACTTTTTGCCTACCCCCTAAGATGATCAGGTTTAGAAATGCCGAAAAACGAAATTTGCTGGTTCAGGGAAATTCCAGTCTACACAAATATATAAATAACACCAGGGACTAAAAAAATGAAGTTTTGGGGATAAAATTATTCGCTTATAACTTTATAGATGGGCCATACGTAAGACAATCCGATGAAAATTAATGATGTAGTTTTTTGTGACGTACATATCATGCTAACATTCAAGAAAACGTGTTATCTCACTTTCGTAACTGTTCGGGAGTACAAAGTGACGCGGGTAGTAAAAAATTCCTAGGTCGCTTCCCCTCGAAGATACAGGCTCCTAAAAGATGCAACGGCAGATACCTTCTTTTGAATAAAGACTGAACGGCACAAATTAAGCTTTCACATCATGGTGACCAAAGAAACAAACACAATGTTTTTCTCATTTTCTCATATTCTGTAAAGCAGTGATTAAATGTAGGTACCTTTGTTTTGAACATGAACCGTTCACGGGAAACACGATTTGTTCTGAAGAACTGGAGCTTGCCTTAAATTTAGATCGCTCATTTAACAATTTTCGTTTCTCTAGCTTATTAATAAAACATCTGTGGAACATAAAAAATGGCAAGTTTATATGCTTAAAAAAAACACTAAACGCGTACAATCCGCATCTGTATTTATCTAAGTTTAAGCATTTAATAATATCCCCCGTTCCCCATATTGCGTCCTTCAGCTGCCAACTGAAGTAGGGATCTTTTCTGAGAAAGATTTTAAAAATGTCTGCAAGATTTATAGCTCTTCTACAAACCCATAGCGTTTGCATTCCTCGCTGCCAAAGGAATGCTATATGCAATGCATATATCCACATTCGAGCTCCGTTAGGTTAGTGAATCTAGCTATTCATAAACGTACAGGACTGTAATACTGTGAGTTGGACGTGAAATCCTGTGCTAGGATCGGATAAATAGCCTAAAATCGTTTTTACGGTATATCTACTGTTTTGAGCCTTCGGCTACCGTTCTACGCAAAGCGATCAATTTCTATCGTTTTATCGCACAAATCCAATCCAATTTCTTATTAGGCCTTCACGCTACCCCCTTCCCACACTCAAATCCAACCTCTTGAACTATCATTACCCCAACGCCACCCCTCCTGGTCTTTAATTTTCAAACGTCGTCAAAGGGCTGGTCAGGCAAGTTAACCCCTCCCCTGCTACGCTTTACACAGCGATATTACAATATCTACCGTTCTGTTTTACCTCAATCTACCACTTTTTAGACGTCTTTTTCATTTTCAGCATTTTGGTTCAATCAGCACTGATCAGCAATTCCATAATTTGCTAGTTAATATGTTGGTACGCTCTGCAAATGAATTACAGCCCAACTAGCAAATATATTTTATAATTATCAACTGTTCATGCTATTTTATTTTATAATTGCTTTATTACTGCTCTTAGAACGCAATTTTGTCTCAATAAAATAGTAAGACAATTCAGCTCTTAAAGGCGGCGAGTGATTGAAGCAAAGTTTGCGATTTGGGCCCAGCGAATGTCAGACCTAAAAGTAGCTAGTGTTGCGCTCAAAATCGAAAAAAAATACACCCTGTGATGATCTTTTAGTTCCAATACTATAAATTTAATTTTTTTCTCAATTTTAGTTTAATTATGTAATTCTGAATAATGTTGCTGTAAATTATTGCCTTAAATTTAACACCAGTTGCTTCACTTTTTTCTCAAACAAGTATTCAAATTAAACGCTTTTCTCAATTTTGTTGCCTGTACTGAAAAAAATGTACTACGTTAATCTGCCAAGTAATTTCAAAAGTTGGCACATTTAATGAGGATTCCAAATTTTTATGACACTTGCTAGATTATTTCTTGAATTATGGACAATTTTAACGTTTGCAAAGAATCACAGTTTTCCACATTTCTTTCTTAATTACTTAAAATTTGTCTAGTGTACCCAAGCCCTTCCTCTGAGCAGTAACTTTAAGATTCTAGTTTGAGTGAGAAAGAGAGAGTTATTTTAGAAAGTGTGAGCGAGACAGTAAAACTGTCATTTTCTTCCAAGC